AGGCTGCTGCCTCTGTCACCAGCATGGCGTGACCTGCTCTCTTCCCACGGTGTGGGCTGGAAGGCGAGTGGCCAGAGGAGCGAACCGCAAGTGAAGCATCTCCACGGCTTGCTTTGCTTCCAGCTCTGACCACGCAGAGGCCGTGCACCCAGAGGAGGTCATGACTGTGCCCATGTTGCCTGTCCTTGCCTGTCCCTCTTCCTTTGCCTGCTGCCAGCGTCCCCAACAGTGCTGCTGGCTTGCTGTTCCCTGCGGAGCGGAGAGCTCGCGTGCCGTGCAGGTTGGGAAACCCTTCGTACCGGTGCCAAAAGGTAAAAAGGTGGACTCTCTGTAGGAAGGAAACCAGGTGATGAAAAACAGTTACAGGGAGGCTGGGCATGGTGGATGTTTTTGTGTTCTGTCTCTGAAGATGCCTGGCAGGTTACTGGTATTCTGGCAGGCGGCTATCCTGGGCAGGCAGCCCTGTCCTGGCTGCCCAGGAGTGCCGTCCCTTAGGGTGGCAGGCAGCCTGGCGCCAGAGCCAGCCCCAGCTCGGTCCCTTTGGTCCGCTGGTGTCCTCTGAGCTGGCAGAGCACCTACCTGCCTTGCTCAGCAGGCAAAGAAGCATCCCTCTGGGAGACCGGCTGAAGCTGGGGTGGTTGTATCGGCAAACCTCGGCAAAACAGCCTCCCTCTCCCCGAGAAATGGGTCATTCCAGGTCTTGGAGTTCTGCAAGCAAGATGGGAACATGTGTGACCAAGGGGAAAAGCTGCTTATTGACTATTATCCCTAGCCTTTGGGGGAGAGGGGAAAGCTTCCCGGGACATGGGCCTGGGGAAGCTTCCTCAAGGTACCTTACAAACATGAGCAGAGAAAGTCCAGAGCGCTTCCCTTGCCTTGCTCCGAGCGTTGCATCTGTCTTGTTCCAGGCTGTTTTGGGGATAATGAGATTTAATCAGTCTCCAGCTCTCGTCCTCCCCTAACCAGTGGTTCAAATCCTATTATCTCGTAAAGCATTTGGAATTCTGTCCCCTGAAATTGCATTAAGCTGGAGTGGAAATTCCTTGCGGCTTAAACCTCGCCTCTGTACGACTTTGAGTTCAGGGTTTTGTTGCTGCTTGCTCCGCAGCTCCTACGGGCTTGCTGGCATGGGGGTGTAAGCACTGGGGTTAACCCCCAGCGAGACGGACTGATTTGTCATGGGGAGGGCAGGGAAGAGCTGGTGGGGGTACAGAAACGCTTGCCAAGGATGGGATTCACCCAGTTAGGAACAAATACTGTAAGCTCTTAGCCTCTCTGCTCAGAGCCCGGCGAGACCCGGTGCCCATTCCTTGTGCTGGCATCTCTTTTGTAGGGTGTTGCTTTGTCCTTTCCCACCACTTTCTTCCCAGCTTTTGAAACGGACGGACTGCTTCCAGGGAAATTGGGCTTTCCAGCCAAGGAGAGGAACAAGCCGTGGGTGCAGAGCCGGTGGCTAGTTCAAGGCCGTGGCCTGGGTGAGGACCCGGAGCTGCTCTTGGCTGATGGGTTTCCTTTTGCCGGCCAGACTCCCCTTATCTCGGGGAGTGCATAGGTTGTGTCCATGGTGGTGCAGGAAGGGTGGAGGCTTTGATAGCTTTCCATAACCCTGCGCGTAGGCTTGGGATTAGACTTGCGTGGGGTGGTGGCAGGTGCCGATGCTGGGGAGCTGCAGGGGTGTTGTCCCGACCATGGGGACCACGGGTGGGTGGGCGGGTGGGC